TATATATATATATATATATATTTATATATATATATATATTTATATATATATATATGCGAACAAGCCTGAATGGTCCCCAGGACTATATGCGAATGAAAACTCACACCCCAGAAGTGACTCGAACCCATACTCCCAGAAGCAACGCAACTGGTAACTACAGGGCGCCTTAATCCGCTTGACCATCACGGCCGTCAAAAGGATGTGATAGCCGAGGCTATTTGAGCCACTTCCCCGACGGCAACTCGGATGGTAATCTTGGGCATAGCATTTCACCAAATCACCTCATTCTTTGGGGCACACGTGAGGAACACAAATGCGAACAAGCCTGAATGGTCCCCAGGACTATATGCGAATGAAAACTCACACCCCAGAAGTGACTCGAACCCATACTCCCAGAAGCAACGCAACTGGTAACTACAGGGCGCCTTAATCCGCTTGACCATCACGGCCGTCAAAAGGAAGTGATAGCCGAGGCTATTTGAGCCACTTCCCCGACGGCAACTCGGATGGTAATCTTGGGCATAGCATTTCACCAAATCACCTCATTCTTTGGGGCACACGTGAGGAACACAAATGCGAACAAGCCTGAATGGTCCCCAGGACTATATGCGAATGAAAACTCACACCCCAGAAGTGACTCGAACCCATACTCCCAGAAGCAACGCAACTGGTAACTACAGGGCGCCTTAATCCGCTTGACCATCACGGCCGTCAAAAGGAAGTGATAGCCGAGGCTATTTGAGCCACTTCCCCGACGGCAACTCGGATGGTAATCTTGGGCATAGCATTTCACCAAATCACCTCATTCTTTGGGGCACACGTGAGGAACACAAATGCGAACAAGCCTGAATGGTCCCCAGGACTATATGCGATGGTCAAGCGGATTAAGGCGCCCTGTAGTTACCAGTTGCGTTGCTTCTGGGAGTATGGGTTGTAGTGTCCTTCGTTACCCTTTGGAACTTAGTTTGGTTAAAAGCAAAGGTCAACAAACTGATCGAAACTGTGAACGCCAAGAAATCCGGACTCCACCTGCCAAAGATCATTGGGGAATATAAACCTGGATATGCGTATGGAAATGTCAAGACGCACAAGCCTGGAAACCCACTTCGGCCAATCATTAGCCAGATACCCACACCCACGTACAGATTGGCGAAGCGACTCAACGGCCTGCTGACTCCTTATGTTCCTTGCGCCTTCAGCCTGAAGTCTCCAAAGGAATTTGTGGACTTACTGCGGGGCGCACGGGCCACAGGGATAAGAGCCTCGTTGGACGTAGAATCGCTGTTTACCAACGTACCTGTGGACAAGACAATCGGAATGATAGCCGACAGAGTGTATCGTGATCCAGCCTGTACTCCTCTTGACATGCCAGAAAGTATTCTGAGGAAACTACTCCAAGCTTGTACTAAAGAGGCACCCTTCTTGAGCCCGGATGGGCACATGTATAAGCAAGTAGATGGGGTCGCTATGGGTTCTCCCCTAGGTGTCCTGTTTGCAAACTTCTACATGGGTACCATCGAGCAAAAAGTCTTAGTCGACATGAACTTGAAACCGGCCATATACTGCAGGTATGTCGACGACATTTTTACACAGGTACCTGATGTCAGACATCTGCAGGAGCTGAAGGAGGCATTTGAGCAGAGTTCCGTGCTGCGTTTCACTTACGAGACGGAAAAGGATGGGAAGCTGCCTTTTCTAGATGTAACAGTCATGGAAAAGGGCGGAGGTTTCCACACTGCAGTCTACACAAAGGAAACAAACATAGGAATGTGCCTAAATGCCAACAGCGACTGCCCCGACAGGTACAAGAGGAGTGTTGTTAACGCATACGTCGACCGTGCTCTCAGCCACAGCTCAGAATGGAAGCAAGTCGACGAAGAACTCTGTAGGGTAAGGCAGGTTCTAGTCAATAACGGCTTCTCCAATGGTTTCATCGAAGACATCATAAGAAGGAAAGTGAAAAGCCATGCAACCTCCGAAGAGACAACTAACACAACACCTATACCCCCTATTAGACTATTTTACAGGAACTTCTTTTCCACAGCTCATAAAACAGAGGAAAGGGTCCTGAAAGATATTGTTAATAGAAACGTTATCCCTACAGACAAAAATCAGAGGATACAACTGACGATTTACTATAAAACCAGAAAAACGGCCAGCCTACTCATGAGAAACTCTCCAGACACGAAACAGAACGCTTTAAAAGAGACTAACGTCGTCTATGCCTTCAAATGCCCACTTGGGGACTGTAAGCTCCAAAAAACCCAGTATATAGGCAAGACAACAACATCTCTTTCTAGGCGTTTAACGATGCATAAACAACAGGGCTCCATTAAGGAACATATAATCTCTTCCCATAACCAAACCATCGCCAGAGAAATCCTAGTAAACAACACAGAAATCATCGATAGATACAGCGATAGCAGGCGGCTCGACGTTTGCGAGGCACTACACATCAAGAAGTCAACACCAGCAATCAACAGCCAATTATTGCACAACTATATTCTACCCACCTCAAGACTCCGCTCCAATATAGAAGCATCAAGAAATATGGACCAATAGGCTTTCTACAAACACTTCTATTCAATATCCATTGTTTCGTGTTCTGTCTTGTGTTGATACTTTTAATACCCTATTAATATCCTCTAATGCCACATCATCCTTCCCACCTTACTCAAATGTAATGCCACATCACCCTTCCCACCTCACTCAAATGTAGATATATATATATATATATATATATATATATATGTCGTACCTAATAGCCAGAACGCACTTCTCAGCCTACTATTCAAGGCCCGATTTGCCTAATAAGCCAAGTTTTCATGAATTAATGTTTTTTCGTCTACCTAACCTACCTAACCTAACCTAACCTAGCTTTTTTTGGCTACCTAACCTAACCTTACCTATAAATATAGGTTAGGTTAGGTTAGGTAGGGTTGGTTAGGTTCGGTCATATATCTACGTTAATTTTAACACCAATAAAAAAAATTGACCTCGTACAAAGAGAAAAGGGTTGCTTTATCACTTCATAAGAAAAAAATTATAGTAAATATATTAATTCAGGAAAACTTGGCTTATTAGGCAAATCGGGCCTTGAATAGTAGGCTGAGAAGTGAGTTCTGGCTACTAGGTACGACATATATATATATATATATATATATATATATATATATATGTCGTACCTAATAGCCAGAACGCACTTGTCAGCCTACTATGCAAGGCCAAATTTGCCTAATAAGCCAAGTTTTCCTGAATTAATATATTTTCTCTAATTTTTTTCTTATGAAAAGATAAAGCTACCCGTTTCATTATGTATGAGGTCAATTTTTTTTTATTTTAGTTAAAATCAACGTAGATATATTACCGAACCTAACCAACCCTACCTAACCTAACCTAACCTATCTTTATAGGTTAGGTAGGTTAGAAAAAAAGTTAGGTTAGGTTAGGTTAGGTAGGTTAGGTCGTCGAAAAACAATTAATTCATGAAAACTTGGCTTATTAGGCAAATCGGGCCTTGCATAGTAGGCCAAAAAGTGCGTTCTGGCTACTAGGTACGACATATATATATATATATATATATATATATATATATATATATATATATATATATATATATGTCGTACCTAGTAGCCAGAACGCACTTCTCAGCCTACTATGCAAGGCCCGATTTGCCTAATAAGCCAAGTTTTCATGAATTATTATATTTTCTCTAATTTTTTTCTTATGAAAAGATAAAGCTACCCATTTCATTATGTATGAGGTCAATTATTTTGTATTGGAGTTAAAATTAACGTAGATATATGACCGAACCTAACCAACCCTACCTAACCTAACCTAACCTATCTTTATAATGTAGGTTAGGTTAGGTAGCCAAAAAAGTTAGGTTAGGTTAGGTAGGTTAGGTAGTTGAAAAATAAATAATTCATGAAAACTTGGCTTATTAGGCAAATCGGGCCTTGCATAGTAGGCTGAGAAGTGCGTTCTGGCTACTAGGTACGACATATATATATATATATATATATATATATATATATATATATATATATATATATATATATATATATATATATATATATATATATTATATGTGTGTGTGTGTGTGTCGTACCTAGTAGCCAAAACGCACTTCTCGGCCTACTATGCAAGGCCCAATTTGCCAAATAGGCCGAGTGATTTTCATTATTTTTAAAAATATTTTTCCAATTGGTTTATTTGAAATATTATTATCATATTAGTGGCACCTCGACTTACGATAATTTCGAGTTACGATGTACATTTCATCGAAAAATGCGACTCGACATTCGATGGTGTCGTTGACTTCCGATATTTGTTGGTACATGTTCGGGTCGACTGAGCTCGTGGTTCCCGGTCACGCGGTCTGACCTGCCTCAGTTTACTACAGCTGCCCGCTTAGTGACGATCGCACCTATAAGAAATTCCGCGTTTGTGGTGATTTTTTGCAATTTGAATATTAAAGTAATTATTATATAGCACACCATGAGTCCCAGGAAAGTCAGTGATAAGGCTCAACATATGAGATCCCATGTAAGAATGACCATAGAGCAGAAACAAAGAGATCATTTGTAAATATGAAGATGGTGTGCGGGTTGTTGAACTGGCTAAGCAGTACAACAAATCTCAGTCAACGATATCCACCATACTAGCTAAGAAAAAGGACATTATGGGTGCTAATGTTATCTTGAGATTGTTTTGGGGCTTTTTTAGTGTCTCCGCGGCCCGGTCCTCGACCAGGCCTCCACCCCCAGGAAGCAGCCCGTGACAGCTGACTAACACCCAGGTACCTATTTTACTGCTAGGTAACAGGGGCATAGGGTGAAAGAAACTCTGCCCATTGTTTCTTGCCGGCGCCTGGGATTGAACCCAGGACCACAGGATCACAAGTCCAGCGTGCTGTCCGCTCGGCCGACCGGCTCCCATCAATGTGATGCAATGTGATGCATCATTACAGACAAATGTTAAAACGAAGGGAAAAAGAAATGTCTCTTGATAAATTTGTAGTGAGAAAAACAAGCACTGAACCACAACCAGGTCCTAGTGGTATTCAGGCAAAACGTAGGAAAGTACCCCAGAGAAAACATCACTGCCTGATGTGATAATGTAAGGGGACTCCCCTTCCAAACAGTAACAACTCTCCTCCCCCCTCATCACCATCTTCCATATGCCATCAAGAGCCCTCCATAAAGGTAAGATAAACTTAGGTAGATATATATATATATATATATATATATATATATATATATATATATATATGCGAACAAGCCTGAATGGTCCCCAGGACAATATGCAACTGAAAACTCACACCCCAGAAGTGACTCGAACCCATACTCCCAGAAGCAACGCAACTGGTATGTACAAGACGCCTTAATCCACTTGACCATCACGACCGGACATAATGAGGTGATAGCCGAGGCTATTTGAACCACCCCACCGCCGGCACTCGGATAGTAATCTTGGGCATAGCATTTTACCAATGCTATTGCCGGCGGTGGGGTGGTTCAAATAGCCTCGGCTATCACCTCATTATGTCCGGTCGTGATGGTCAAGTGGATTAAGGCGTCTTGTACATACCAGTTGCGTTGCTTCTGGGAGTATGGGTTCGAGTCACTTCTGGGGTGTGAGTTTTCAGTTATATATATATATATATATATATATATATAGGAACTACAAATATCTATAAATTAATATCTCAAATCACATATACAGGAAGAGGAGGACGAGCTACAGCAGGCAGCCACCAAGATCCAGGCAGCATTTCGAGGCTTCAAAACAAGACAAGATTTGAAGCAATCCCAACATTCAGGAAAAATAAACATAGAAGGAATTGACCTCAATGACCCTGAACTACATGAAGCAGCCATCAAAATCCAGTCTTCATTCAGAGGTTTCAAAACAAGACAAGATTTGAAGGGATCTCAGTCTTCAGGATTAGAAAACGTTGAAGGAATTGACCTCAATGACCCTGAACTACAAGAAGCAGCCATAAAAATCCAGTCTTCATTCAGAGGTTTCAAAACAAGACAAGATTTGAAGGGATCTCAGCCTTCAGGATTAGAAAACGTTGAAGGAATTGATCTCCATAACCCTGAACTACAAGTAGCAGCCATAAAAATCCAGTCTTCTTTCAGAGGTTTCAAAACACGACAACATTTGAAGGGATCTCAGTCTTCAGGATTAGAAATCGTTGAAGGAATTGACATCAATGACCTTGAACTACAAGAAGCAGCCATAAAAATCCAGTCTTCATTCAGAGGTTTCAAAACAAGACAAGATTTGAAGAGATCCCAACATTCAGAAATAGAAAACATTGAAGGAATTGATCTCAATGACCCAGAACTACAAGAAGCAGCCATAAAAATCCAGTCTTCATTCAGAGGTTTCAAAACAAGGCAAGATTTGAAGGAATCTCAGCCTTCAGGATTAGAAAACATTGAAGGAATTGACCTCAATGACCCTGAACTACAAGAAGCAGCCATCAAAATCCAGTCTTCATTCAGAGGTTTCAAAACAAGACAAGATTTGAAGGAATCTCAGCCTTCAGGATTAGAAAACGTTGAAGGAATTGACCTCAATGACCCTGAACTACAAGAAGCAGCCATAAAAATCCAGTCTTCATTCAGAGGTTTTAAAACAAGACAAGATTTGAAGGGATCCCAACATTCAGAAATAGAAAACATTGAAGGAATTGATCTCAATGACCCTGAACTACAAGAAGCAGCCATAAAAATCCAGTCTTCATTCAGAGGTTTCAAAACAAGACAAGATTTGAAGGGATCTCAGCCTTCAGGATTAGAAAACGTTGAAGGAATTGACCTCAATGACCCTGAACTACAAGAAGCAGCCATCAAAATCCAGTCTTCATTCAGAGGTTTCAAAACAAGACAAGATTTGAAGGGATCCCAACATTCAGAAATAGAAAACATTGAAGGAATTGATCTCAATGACCCTGAACTACAAGAAGCAGCCATCAAAATCCAGTCTTCATTCAGAGGTTTCAAAACAAGGCAAGATTTGAAGGAATCTCAGCCTTCAGGATTAGAAAACATTGAAGGAATTAACCTCAATGACCAAGAACTACAAGAAGCAGCCATAAAAATCCAGTCTTCATTCAGAGGTTTCAAAACAAGGCAAGATTTGAAGGGATCTCAGCCTTCAGGATTAGAAAACGTTGAAGGAATTGACCTCAATGACCCTAAACTACAAGAAGCAGCCATCAAAATCCAGTCTTCATTCAGAGGTTTCAAAACAAGACAAGATTTGAAGGGATCTCAGCCTTCAGGATTAGAAAACGTTGAAGGAATTGACCTCAATGACCCTGAACTACAAGAAGCAGCCATCAAAATCCAGTCTTCATTCAGAGGTTTCAAAACAAGACAAGATTTGAAGGGATCCCAACATTCAGAAATAGAAAACATTGAAGGAATTGATCTCAATGACCCTGAACTACAAGAAGCAGCCATCAAAATCCAGTCTTCATTCAGAGGTTTCAAAACAAGGCAAGATTTGAAGGAATCTCAGCCTTCAGGATTAGAAAACATTGAAGGAATTAACCTCAATGACCCAGAACTACAAGAAGCAGCCATAAAAATCCAGTCTTCATTCAGAGGTTTCAAAACAAGACAAGATTTGAAGGGATCTCAGCCTTCAGGATTAGAAAACGTTGAAGGAATTGACCTCAATGACCCTGAACTACAAGAAGCAGCCATCAAAATCCAGTCTTCATTCAAAGGTTTCAAAACAAGACAAGATTTGAAGGGATCCCAACATTCAGAAATAGAAAACATTGAAGGAATTGATCTCAATGACCCTGAACTACAAGAAGCAGCCATAAAAATCCAGTCTTCATTCAGAGGTTTCAAAACAAGACAAGATTTGAAGGGATCCCAACATTCAGAAATAGAAAACATTGAAGGAATTGATCTCAATGACCCTGAACTACAAGAAGCAGCCATAAAAATCCAGTCTTCATTCAGAGGTTTCAAAACAAGACAAGATTTGAAGGGATCTCAGCCTTCAGGATTAGAAAACGTTGAAGGAATTGACCTTAATGACCCTGAACTACAAGAAGCAGCCATAAAAATCCAGTCTTCATTCAGAGGTTTCAAAACAAGACAAGATTTGAAGGGATCTCAGCCTTCAGGATTAGAAAACGTTGAAGGAATTGACCTCAATGACCCTGAACTACAACAAGCAGCCATCAAAATCCAGTCTTCATTCAAAGGTTTCAAAACAAGACAAGATTTGAAGGGATCCCAACATTCAGAAATAGAAAACATTGAAGGAATTGATCTCAATGACCCTGAACTACAAGAAGCAGCCATAAAAATCCAGTCTTCATTCAGAGGTTTCAAAACAAGACAAGATTTGAAGGGATCCCAACATTCAGAAATAGAAAACATTGAAGGAATTGATCTCAATGACCCTGAACTACAAGAAGCAGCCATAAAAATCCAGTCTTCATTCAGAGGTTTCAAAACAAGACAAGATTTGAAGGGATCCCAACATTCAGAAATAGAAAACATTGAAGGAATTGATCTCAATGACCCTGAACTACAAGAAGCAGCCATAAAAATCCAGTCTTCATTCAGAGGTTTCAAAACAAGACAAGATTTGAAGGAATCTCAGTCTTCAGGATTAGAACACGTTGAAGGAATTGACCTCAATGACCCTGAACTACAAGAAGCAGCCATCAAAATCCAATCTTCATTCAGAGGTTTCAAAACAAGACAAGATTTGAAGCAATCCCAACATTCAGAAATAGAAAACATTGAAGGAATTGATCTCAATGACCCTGAACTACAAGAAGCAGCCATAAAAATCCAGTCTTCATTCAGAGGTTTCAAAACAAGACAAGATTTGAAGGGATCCCAACATTCAGAAATAGAAAACATTGAAGGAATTGATCTCAATGACCCTGAACTACAAGAAGCAGCCATAAAAATCCAGTCTTCATTCAGAGGTTTCAAAACAAGGCAAGATTTGAAGGGATCCCAACATTCAGAAATAGAAAACATTGAAGGAATTGATCTCAATGACCCTGAACTACAAGAAGCCGCCATAAAAATCCAGTCTTCATTCAGAGGTTTCAAAACAAGACAAGATTTGAAGGAATCTCAGCCTTCAGGATTAGAAAACGTTGAAGAAATTGACCTCAATGACCCTGAACTACAAGAAGCTGCCATAAAAATCCAGTCTTCATTCAGAGGTTTCAAAACAAGACAAGATTTGAAGGGATCCCAACATTCAGAAATAGAAAACATTGAAGGAATTGATCTCAATGACCCTGAACTACAAGAAGCAGCCATAAAAATCCAGTCTTCATTCAGAGGTTTCAAAACAAGACAAGATTTGAAGGGCTCTCAGTCTTCAGGATTAGAAAACGTTGAAGTAATTGACCTCAATGACCCTGAACTACAAGAAGCTGCCATAAAAATCCAGTCTTCATTCAGAGGTTTCAAAACAAGACAAGATTTGAAGGGATCCCAACATTCAGAAATAGAAAACATTGAAGGAATTGATCTCAATGACCCTGAACTACAAGAAGCAGCCATAAAAATCCAGTCTTCATTCAGAGGTTTCAAAACAAGACAAGATTTGAAGGGCTCTCAGTCTTCAGGATTAGAAAACGTTGAAGGAATTGACCTCAATGACCCTGAACTACAAGAAGCAGCTATCAAAATCCAGTCTTCATTTAGAGGTTTCAAAAGAAGTCAAGTTTTGAAGGAATCATGTCTTTCAGAAATAAAAAACATCGAAGAAATGGACCTTAGTGACTCTGAACTACAATTAGCTGCTTTAAAAATTCAATCTGCATATAGAGGTTTCAAAACCAGGACAAATTTGAAGAGTTCACAGTTTAAAGTAAATGAAGAGATAGACCTTAATGATCCAGGACTACAAGCAGCCGCAACGTTAATTCAGTCATGCTATCGTAGTTTCAAAACCAGACAAAATTTACGAGAAAATCCTCTAGATGTTACACATACTCATGTAGACAGTCCTGCAACAGATGTTCATTCATTAGTGAATGGTTCTGAAACATGCAAGGAAAGTACACTGCAGCACCTAAGTGGAGAGAAGATAATGAGGGTGTCTGCAGAAGACGTGCGAGCAGCCACCATAATACAAGCCGTCTTTCGTGGATATCGCGCAAGAAACAGTCCTCACAGTGAAACTGCAACAGTTCAGAAACCAGGTGTCCGAATGACTATTCCCAATGAAGAAGTAGCTATTAAAAAATCCCAAACTACGCAAGATACAAATGGATATGATGACAGTGAAGAAAATACACTTTGTTTAGAAGAGGCAGCAAGAAAAATACAATCTGTGTATAGAGGTCATTCTGTCAGAAGAAAACAGAAGCACATTGCACAAAATGAAATAAAAAATAGTGAAATAAAATATAATAAATCAAAGGAAAATGAAAGTAGGAAAATCTTTGTTGAACCAGAAATAATTATTACTTGTGTAGATATGAATACGAATACCTTCCCGGAGATAGATGAGGAGACCAGCAAGTTGGGTGTGGCGGAGGATGGAGATAGAGACAATTCGAGCATCTCCACACTAGATACCAATCTATGTTCTCAGAAAGGTTCTGAATTAACAGTACCAGTTGATGCTGAAGAATGGAATCGTGCAGCAACCAGGATTCAGAGTGTGTTTAGAGGATATCAGACCAGACGACAAGTCAATAATCTTCCTAGAAATAGAAACAAACACAGAGCAGCGACAAAAATACAAGCAGGTTTCCGAGGTTATAAAGCACGGAAAATCCTTAAGAAACCTTCGTGCAAGTCGTGGTGTCCCAGCACAGCAGGTGGGAGGGAGCGATACCAGGAGGATGCTGAGGGTGTGGACATGAGCGACCCACTGCTACTGAGGGCGGTGGTGAAGATCCAGGCCGCTCTCCGTGGTCACCTGACCAGGAAGGCGCTCAGGACGACAACTTCACAACCTCACCATGAGGGAGCATCTTAAGAGCCTCACCATGAGGGAGCACCTTAAGTGCCCCACCATCAGGGAGCATCTTAAGAGCCTTACCATTAGGGTGAGGATTACCTCTTGGTCTTTGTTCCATTAGCTTCTACATTTTTGCTCCATTACCTCGTTCATTGTCCCTTACCTTTTACCTGTTCTTTGTTCATTACCTCTTATTTGTTCCATTACATTGTCCTTTATTTATTACTTTGTTATCTCTTGCTCTTTTTTACATTGCCTCTTGTTCTTTTTTACATTGCCTCTTGTTCTTTATTCCATTACCTCTTGTTTTTATTGCATTAAATATTGTTCTTTGTTCCATTTTCTCTTTATTCCACTACCACAAACATATTTCTTGTTCCGTTACCTATTATTTGCTCTATGTTCCATCAACTCTTACTTGTTCTTAGTTCTATTTCGTTGTGAGTTCGAATGTATAACATTGCTCTCTGTCTTAATGTTTGCCATGTTCTTGCCCCTGCTGCTTGGCCGGCCATGTGGTCACTCTGAACACAGGCAAGGAAGCGAGGTCACTATAAACTGGAACAAGGCAGCGAGGTCACTATAAACTGGAACAAGGCAGCGAGGTCACTATAAACTGGAACAAGGCGGCGAGGTCACTATAAACTGGAACAAGGCGGCGAGGTCACTATAAACTGGAACAAGGAGGCGAGGTCACTATAAACTGGAACAAGGAGGCGAGGTCACTATAAACTGGAACAAGGCGGCGAGGTCACTATAAACTGGAACAAGGAGGCGAGGTCATTATAAACTGGAACAAGGCAGCGAGGTCACTATAAACTGGAACAAGGAAGCGAGGTCACTATAAACTGGTACAAGGAGGCGAAGTCACTATAAACTAGAACAAGGAAGCGAGGTCACTATAAACTGAAACAAGGCGGCGAGGTTACTATTAACAGAGGCAAGGAAGCGAGGTCATTATTTACAGAGGCAAGGAAGCGAGGTCACTATGAACAGGAACAAGGAAGCCTGTGGAATACATGTCCTTCTTGTACTAATTGGCTCGGTCAATAACGACGCAGTAAAAACACTTGTGTTACTGCAATCAAATTTTATATACTTACAAGCAAATAATTTGCACATTTATGTATGACACTTAGCAGGCTATCTTGTATAGAGCACTTACTATTTATAATGTTCGTGTATAAAGGAAATTGCTCGAATAAAGAAATCTTCATTCAAAATGTTATATTTATTCAGTAAAAATACAAATTTACAAAAAAAAAATTGACTAATGCCTATTTTTACATGTTATATATGTACATGTGTTAATTGTCAACGTGTACAAATATAACAGATCAACAGTGGTATATAATACTGTAACTCAACTGGGAGGAGTGATTGGGTGCTACATTTTAGCTGTTTGCCCCTTTTCACCCAGCAGTAACTGTGGACCTGGTTGTAAACCATGTTGGCTGGTGTTTTACGAAAAACTAGTAGTTTGGCTAATGCATATATTTTCAGTAGATTATGGTAAATATACATGACTTTCTTGTTAACAGAACTACATCCAAACACACACATACACAGGCACAGATGGGGTCAAAGAGCTAATGCTCGATCCTGCAGCCACAAATAGGTGAACTAAATAAATAAATATACAGTATATCGGAAGGGAGTATCACCTCTGGCTGGAAGAAGGGGACCCTTAGCCTCGGATAACAGCACACAACACATTAGATCGGATTTTAGGTCCCCTTCAATACAATTTCAATGTTCTTTTATTATACTGTCCAATTCCTTTTGTGTTTTGTTGTTCTTTATTAGATATTTAAAGGTTACAAGTTGTACATAGGTTAATACAATGAGTAAAAGGGAGTTAAATTCATCATAACATCCTTACGTTTAATTGTTCATAACACAACTCTTCATAACATCCTTACTAGATTTACCTATGCCCCGAATTTCACTGATCCTGATCTACTTAGTATACTCTGTGTGGGAATTGTTTAATATTTCTGACTCTGAAATAAAACACACCCTTATTTCACATAAGAAACTAACTAGCCACTAGGAAGCTGTTGTTTTTTTTGTGGGGTAGTGGACTGTACAGTATCTATTCTCTGTGTTCCCTAAGTGGCTCAGTTTTCAGTGATCCAACAAGAATGGTGCTGCCTTTCATTAATCTGTGTGAATGAAAAAATCTCCACAACTACGTGGTAAAAAGAAATATATATAATGCAGCTAGCACTGATACGGTTAAAAATTATTTTAGCCTATCCTTTTGTTCTGGTAACTTGTCACATATGAATTATTATAAACAATGACAAGATTCTTTAATGCAATGAATTTATCTATTGCAAATGTATACTTAAATTTGTCTTTAAGCTATTGCAATATATCAAATATTTGTCAAACCTTGATTAACCTAGCTAATATGGTTTTATTTTAGTGCCAAGCAATTTACTTACTGAGGTGAGCTCGTAAGCTCGTGGTTGTAACCACACCTGTAATTTAATGGGGTTAGTGACACAAAAGACACTGGATCCAATCTCTAGTTACTACCACCAACCTCACTTATTAATATGCAGGTACGGAGCTCAGTCTTATAATACTAAGACTTAGCTCACTTGTAGGGCCAGAGCTTGTAGTGTTGTTCACTACTGATGTTAGAATTGTGTTGTCTAGACTCCGTCGGCTTCTGGCTTGAGGAGTCCAGTGTTACCAGTGGAGTCCAGTGTCCAACCATGGAGTCCCAGGAGGTGGTAGAGGTCTTGTTTATTAAAGCGTCAACGTCTGGACACATGTGATCCACACCAAGGCGAGTATCATTGCCCTGCCTCTTTTTAATGATACATTTATACTATCGTTAACCAAATGTATTTTGCTAAACAAGTATTCTTAAGTATATATATTTATTTTGAAGTATTACCATGATATGCTTATAGGTGTTAGATGTAATTACATATCCTGATATGGATTCATTAAGGAGGCCTTCTTGGGATGTGTAGATCACAAAATGATCTACACAAATGAATGATAATGTACGTTGGTGAAGGTGTAATTGCGTATTGTTTATCCCCCTTTTATTCCTTGCACTGTTACCTGCTGTCGCCTATTCTTGAGAACTTACCATCGACTTGAGGTAGGATCAGGAAGAAGAGGCTCTGAGGCACCTTGCAAGTAACAAGTTTCTGTTCTCTCTATTCTTGGCAATGTTTATTCTTCAATGAAATATTCGTGGTTTTTATGCCAACTTCCATGAACTCCAACCTCTGATGACAGTTTTCACCACATTGTGTTTGTCTTCAGGAGTCGATGCTTGGCGCTCGTCCTGGTCACTTCGTGGTTATTCATTTCTCTCCCCCCTCCCCTTCATCTTCGGCTGGGGCCCATAACTCTACTCCTCTCTTGATCCGTCATATGATATTCCCTTCGTCCCCCCCCCCCTACTTTTTCAATCGCACGTTCAGTGTACTGCGGCCCGTATCTTTGTGAGGAAATGGTATAGTCTGTTCCATTTATCTCCCACTAAATGTCCCACTTTCTCTTCCTGATTTTAAACCGCCTGTTGAACTCCTTACCAGAGCCTGTACTCTGGTAAGATTTGTTTCCACTGACAGTCGTTGAGGGAAATGTTAACCATTTTTTCTAGCCTGGTTTTCAGAAGTGTCATACTCTTCAAGCTTTTCGCTGTTATAAGATGGTGGGCAAGCCTGTATGTATATGTGTGTGTGTGTGTATAAAATAATTTTTTTATAATATATATATATATATATATATATATATATATATATATATATATATATATATATATATATATATATATATATATTTTAGCAATATATATTGCTAAATATATATTGCAATATATATATTGCAAATTACAATATAAATTGTAATTTGTGTAATATATATTACACAAATTACGTGGTTAATAAATATATATATATATTACACACTGGCAGCAGGTTTTTTCATTTAGACATGTTTCATTGGATATGCCTGCATATTCCTTGTTGATTTTCCTGTTTAGGGCTTCTATCCCTCTGTCTAGTGCTCTTGCATCTTGGTTTAATTGGAAGAGGATTTCTCCAAATGTCATCTTTGTTCGAGGTAAACTAAAAGAATAATTAATTGTTGAATGTATTATACTTATTATAAATTTACACAACGTTTCGAGCCTACATGGTTCATTCTCAAGTGAATGGGATAGTACTGTTGTTGTTGTTTTTTAGATTTAGCTACTCTGAACGAAATGTCCATGTAGCACGGGCTATGGTGAGCCCGTAAGGGATAGTACTGGGCGTATTGGACTTATACCATTCGGTAGATCAGGTACATACATTACACACTGATTTACAGACACGTACCACATTTATACACTGATACCACATTACACACTACAGTGTCCGTCTTGATTCCAAAGCTGGTGTGGTTCCAACAACCACTTCAAATGCACAAACTGATTTTCTCATTGATACATCATGGTAATGTGATTTCCTTGTGTATTACTATTATTATTATTATTATTATTATTATTTGTACTCTGTTTATCACAAAGGCAAATACGCACATAACAAAATGGTCACCATTAATATGTATGAACAATGTAAAAATGAGGAGTATACATACCCTAATAATTATAGGTACACTTAATTATAGGTTCACCATTAATTATAGATACATAACCATTAATCGGAGGTGTATGCAGGAAAAATATTCGGTTGTGTAGCGCCGTTAAGACTTGGGTGGTGGCGCCTGACAGCTGTGTAGCGCCGTTAAGACTTGGGTGGTGGCGCCTGACAGCTGTGTAGCGCCGTTAAGACTTGGGTGGTGACGCCTGACAGCTGTGTAGCGCCGTTAAGACTTGGGTGGTGGCGGCCGCTGACAACACATAGATCCCAGAGTGCGTCAGTCCCGCCTCTTAATTATTAACACAAAAATTTTTGTATACAAATGCAGTATGGGAGTGGAGGACATGAGTGCCACATGGGAGGCACCACGCCTGATGCTTGAGGCACTAGTCGTGTGGTCAGGCTGAGCCAGGGTGATAGGAGAGGCCTGGCGCCAGTGCCATTCTCTACCTTCCGCACTGGGAAGAGAGAAGGCTACTGTGAAGCCCAAGGAGAAGGCGACACTGAGGAACTGCGTCACGAGCGGGACACCAGGAGCTAGACTCTAGCAGAAGTTGCCGAACCAACACTCGAGGTTGGCAGAGCAACCAGAGCAGAAGCCGCAGGAGCAGTAGGTGCCGGCGCCACACGCCCCGTTCTCACCCCACTCCCCGCCACACGTCTCCCCAGGGCCCTGCAAAACACGGTTACAACACAAAAAAATATGTGAAAAATATATGTGATTCATCAAATAGCTTCTCAAAAAAGATATTACACAGTCGATGGCAAGAGTAAATGAGACGTACCTTGGCGCACACTGGGTTGCCACACCAGTCTGAAACTGTGCCATATTTGCAGTTGTGAGGCGGAGCCCTGCCGCCCTGCCTGCTGCACCTGGGGGCCCCTGCAGTTCCCCTGTACAGGAAAAAAAATGGTACATTGAACATTACACAAATAGCCGGTGATAACTGGAACAATGTTGATCAAATAAACAAATACTGTGTCACAAATGTATCCGGCCTTCATAAGACAAGTTCACTGGTCTCTAGTGCTCTTACAAGACACTATGTCCAAAAACAGTTTGGTCAAGGCGGGAGGCTAGGTGACCTGTGACACACAGCACCTGCACTATGCCCGGTCACAGCTTACTCATGGGGCCCCGTTTTTAAATTAATGTGAGGGTAGACGTTCCCTGGTGGGTTCGCCTGCCACTGGGGGTACACGTCCCCTAGGGGTAAGCCTCTCTCTATTGAGTTACGCCTACCACTGGAGGTACGCTTACCATTAGGGATACACGTTCCCTGGGGCTACGCGGGATTTATAAAGAAATACACGTAACCTTAGTCTCCACAGGAGACATCTCCCGTCACGCCGGGTGCAGTCGCACCTCCACAGATCTCCAGAATCAGCTCTTGATACTGGTAATGGTTTCAAAAGGGCCACCACTTACGGGCTATTCATGCCCGTGCCACCTTTTGGATGGCTTAATCTTCATCAGTCATCATCTTAGTCTCCACGGGAGACATCTCCCGTCACGCAGGGTGCAGCCGCACCTCCACAGATCTCCAGTATCATCTATTGATACTGGTAATGGCTCAAAAGGGCCACCACTTACGGGCTATTCGTGCCCGTGCCACCTTTTGGGTGGCTTAATCTTCATCATCATCATCTTAGTCTCTTCACAGAGGTCACGACCTCTCCGTAGGGTGCAGTCGCACCTCCACAGATCTCCAGTATCATCTATTGATACTGGTAATGGCTCAAAAGGGCCACCACTTACGGGCTATTCATGCCCGTGCCAACTTTTGGGTGGCTTAATCTTCATCAATCAATCTTAGTCTCTTGTTTGTTCAGTGTGGTGTCTGTCAACCCTAGAAAGGATTATTGCCAAGCATCACTTGCCGTCATGGTGTTCCTACCGCACCACGTTAATGGACATGAAAACATCCTTGAGATATATTTCCTCTCTAGTAGGATAAAACACACTTAACTGCTTTCAGTTGTTGGTATTCACGAGGTACATGAAAGAGGACGACTTTCTTTTTTTGTCGGGCTCTTGAAGCTTCAACTGCAGTGCATATATTTTTGAACTTGTTAATTCATGGAGGCCGAGAGACTACAGTTTTATGTGGTTTCACAGCAGATGCAGCTCCTGCTGTGGTGGGCATCATTATAAACAATAATATTTAAGGTGTTAACAATAGGGCAAAACATTTGCGCTGCATGATGATATTTAGGCAGGTCCTAGTCTCTAAGATATTGTCCACTGAAGGAAAGGAAGTGATTAATACCACAGAAAAGATAGTTCCCAGCGTGAGTGGCGTCAGTACTAGGCTGCTCACACCTCTGCTGAGAGGCGTCAGTACTAGGCTGCTCACACCTCTGCTGAGTGGCGTCAGTACTAGGCTGCTCACACCTCTGCTGAGTGGCGTCAGTACTAGGCTGCTCACACCTCTCTGAGTGGCGTCAGTACTAGGCAGTACTAGTAATGTGGTTGTAATTGACTTTGTTGATAAACTGATTTTGAAACCAGAACTGTGGCACACAAAGTTCTACTATCTAATTGCTTAGAGTGGCATTTTTTTTTACTATGGTGCACAGTTATAAAAACTACTATCTAAACAGGAGAATGGGTTGTATAGGAAGGGTATGGTTTTTACTTAGCCATGTTTCTGTTAAAATAAAAATTAAGTGCCTAGTGCTTCAAGTAGCGCATTGATGTTATCAAAATGTTTACAAAGCGATCTGACATTTTGGTTGAATTCTAATAGGCTCGTGTTATTTTGGAGTTTATTTTTTACAAGGTTTGCTGTGTAGCAATTGCAAGTATTCCTAGGGTTTTGTTAGCATTTTTTTTACAGCCGCTCCCATTTGTTGTGTAACGTTCAGTGAACGGTGGATTCTGACCCCAAGGTCCTTTTCTTCATCAATCTGCTGCAAGGTATAGTGCTGTTAATATGGTTGTTGTGACGTGGGTTGTTATGCCCAACATGCAAGATCTTTCCATTTATCGACATTAAAAAGCATTTGCCAGTCGTATGACCATTTGTAGAGTTCATGTATTGTTCTTTGTAAAGTCTCAATATTTGGTGGATGTTGATCCGGAAAATTTCTTCAAAAGGTCAAGTGTAACACAAACAAGGAACAACAGTTTCAAGCTCAACACGCCATATTGTAGGACAGAACAGGAGAGGCTTTTTCACCCACAGGATTATAAACCCATGGAACCGCCTACCCGCCGAAACCGTAAATGCATGATGGTGGTATTTGTGGTGTTGGTAATGTTGAATTTCGAAATTAAACTGGAAAAAATCAAGGCAAATAGGGGGTGGGGGACCTTCGACAAGCCGCTGGCTTCCTGTCCTCATCGAGGCCACTAATGTTAGTTGCCTTCAGATAAACATATGTGTAAATAATCTATTATTTACTCACATTATTTACAATAATCTATTATTTAAGCAGGTGACCACGACAAGCTGTGTACGTGGTGCTACATGAAGACTTGTGGGCGAGGAGCACATCTCGACTCTCACTGATTACAAGTTTGGTTCTTTATCCTCCGAGGGTCAGGGTCTTCACCACACGCCATGAGTTTACATCGTCACTGCTTGTCCACGGAAGTCTTCCAGTTGTGGACGTCTGTTGTCACCAAGCATCTGCCACACAGTGTAGCACGAGGCCAAGATGTTTACCACCGACAGACACAGTATAGCCAGACTTTAATGCTTCCCCAGCCACGGGAACTGCTCTGCAGGAGGTACATACTGATACAGGCTGTAGGAAGAAGAGAGAGAGGGAGAGGCTGCAGGAAGAAGAGAGTGGAGGAGAGGCTGCAGGAACACTAAACAACGTTTGGATTACTTACTGCAGGAATATGACGACAACAACCACGAGGACTGTGGTGGTGAGGAGGCTGGAGCGTCTCATGGTGGTGGTGGTGGTGACTGTGGGAGAGATTATTGTTGATAATTTTGGTCACTGGTACTGGAGGAGAAAGCGACAGTGCTCACCTATCAGGAAAACGAAGACAAGGTGACTTTGAAAAAAGAAAAGGGAGTGTAAGTGAGAGGAAGTGTGGAGTGCTTACCTATCACTGACAACGGGAAAGTGGAATATAGCTCTTGTCCCCTGCCTACTTGCCACGTTGTATCTGTTGCAATATAACTCAACTCTTCCATCCGAATTTTTAGTCGAAGATGGGCTAAAAGTTAAGATGTAGGTGGTTTCCGCAGCTTCTGTTTTTTTCAGTGCATTCCACGTACTGTTAGAGTACGAGTTTATTCATTTATTCAACTAATTTGTGTTTCTAGGTTCCACTTAAGTTCTCTCGTCCTACTTTGCCAGTTTAAGAGGCAGTCCTTGTCCCACCTGGCCAATTCTCCTCAGTATCTTGTATGTTATGATCTTGGCCCTTTTCCTATTATCTAAGGTTGTGAGACCTAGTTCCCTTAACCTGTCCTCGTAGCTTAACCCTCTTAGTTGTGGGACTAGTCTTATTACTATCCTCTGTGTTTGTGTGTGGTAGTGGTTGTTGTAGTGGCGGTGGTTGTTGTGGTGGTGGTGGTGGTGGTGGAGGTGGTGGTGGTGGTGGTGGTGGTTGTTGTAGTGGTGGTGGTTGTTGTAGTGGTGGTGGTGGTGATGGTGGTGGTGGTGATGGTGGTGGTGATGGTGGTGGTGACGGTGGTGGTGATGGTGATGGTGATGGTAGTGGTGGTGGTGGTTGTTGTGGTGGTGGTGGTGGTGATGGTGGTGATGGTGGTGGTGATGGTGATGGTGGTGGTGGTTGTTGTGGTGGTGGTGGTGATGGTGGTGGTGATGGTGGTGGTGATGGTGGTGATGGTGGTGGTGGTTGTTGTGGTGGTGGTGGTGATGGTGGTGGTGGTTGTTGTGGTGGTGGTGGTGATGGTGGTGGTGATGGTGGTGGTGGTGGTGGTGGTGATGGTGATGGTGATGGTGGTGGTGGTGGTGGTGGGTGGTGGTGGTGGTGGTGGTTGTTGTGGTGGTGGTGGTGATGGTGGTGGGGTGATGGTAAGATTCGTGTTAGTGGTTATTATGATGGGCATAGTAATGATAATGTTAGTAGTTGTGATGGTGGTAGTGACTGTAATGATGTTAGTAGTGAAGATAGTGGAGTTACAGTTAATGGTGGCGATGGTAATGATTGTGGTGGTAATATTGGTGTTAGTAGTGGCGTTAGTGGTTGTTATGGTGGTAGGAATGGTGATGATGGTGGTAGGAGTAGTGATGGTGGTGATGGTAGGAGTGGTGGTGGTGATGGTGGTGGTGGACACTGTTGCCAGCGAGGGGAGGACGGTGTGAGGGACGGCGGGGCTCATGTAAGCCTCATCACCTTGACAAGGTCAATTTAGTGAAACAAATGGGTGCCTCATGGTGGTGTGGCTCTGGTGACAGGTGTGGTGGTGTGGCTCTGGTGACAGATGTGGTGGTGTGGCTCTGGTGACAGGTGTGGTGGTGAGTGTGGCTCTGGTGACAGGTGTGGTGGTGAGTGTGGCTCTGGTGACAGGTGTGGTGGTGTGGCTCTGGTGACAGTGTGGCTCTGGTGACAGGTGTGGTGGTGAGTGTGGCTCTGGACAGGTGTGGTGGTGAGTGTGGCTCTGGTGAGGTGTGGTGGTGAGTGTGGCTCTGGTGACAGGTGTGGTGGTGAGTGTGGCTCTGGTGACAGGTGTGGTGGTGAGTGTGGCTCTGGTGACAGGTGTGGTGGTGAGTGTGGCTCTGGTGACAGGTGTGGTGGTGAGTGTGGCTCTGGTGACAGGTGTGGTGGTGAGTGTGGCTCTGGTGACAGGTGTGGTGGTGAGTGTGGCTCTGGTGACAGGTGTGGTGGTGAGTGTGGCTCTGGTGACAGGTGTGGTGGTGAGTGTGGCTCTGGTGACAGGTGTGGTGGTGAGTGTGGCTCTGGTGACAGGTGTGATGGTGTGGCTCTGGTGACAGGTGTGGTGGTGTGGCTCTGGTGACAGGTGTGGTGGTGTGGCTCTGGTGACAGGTGTGGTGGTGTGGCTCTGGTGACAGGTGTGGTGGTGTGGTTCTGGTGACAGGTGTGGTGGTGTGGCTCTGGTGACATTTGTGGTGATGTGGCTCTGGTGACAGGTGTGGTGAATGTGGCTCTGGTGACAGGTGTGGTGGTGTGGCTCTGGTGACAGGTGTGGTGGTGTGGCTCTGGTGACAGTTGTCGTGGTGGTGAGTGTGGCTCTGGTGACAGGTGTGGTGGTGGTGAGTGTGGCTCTGGTGACAGGTGTGGTGGTGGTGAGTGTGGCTCTGGTGACAGGTGTGGTGGTGGTGAGTGTGGCTCTGGTGACAGGTGTGGTGGTGGTGAGTGTGGCTCTGGTGACAGGTGTGGTGGTGGTGAGTGTGGCTCTGGTGACAGGTGTGGTGGTGGTGAGTGTGGCTCTGGTGACAGGTGTGGTGGTGGTGAGTGTGGCTCTGGTGACAGGTGTGGTGGTGGTGAGTGTGGCTCTGGTGACAGGTGTGGTGGTGGTGAGTGTGGCTCTGGTGACAGGTGTGGTGGTGGTGAGTGTGGCTCTGGTGACAGGTGTGGTGGTGGTGGGTGTGGCTCTGGTGACAAGTGTGGTGGTGGTGGGTGTGGCTCTGGTGACAGGTGTGGTGGTGTGGTCATGCATCATGGTGATGAGTGTGCCCACCTAGGCCACCCTTCCCCTCCCACTCCCCCCTTTTCCCCACACCTTCCTTTCTCCTCCCCAAACCCCCCCTCTATCCCATCCCCCCAGCCCTCCATTTTTTCCTTCCCTCCAAGTCCTCCCTTCACCCCCGCCCTCTCCTTACCCAATCCTCCTAGCCCCCTCGCACCCCAGATCTCCCTCCCATCCAGGACCCTCCCTGTTTTCCTACTCCAGCAGAATCAACAGAAACTGAGGATGGACAGAAAAGAGTCAGCTTCAAGGTGATGTACTCGAACATAGATGGGATTACAAGCAAGGCAAGTGAACTTAGGGAAAGAGCACAGGAAATGAACCCAGATGTAATTCGACTCGCAGAAACTAAACTCTCAGGAATCATAACGAATGCGGTGTTTCCCCAGGACTACACTGTAATAAAGAAAGAAAGGGAAGGAAGAGGCAGAGTGGGGCTACTAATGAGAAAGGAATGGAGTTTCAAGGAGATGGTTATCCCAGGCTGTCAGTGGTTCAGAGACTACATAAGTCACCATGATGATGGGAAGACCAAGAGTAATAGTAGCGGTGATATATAACCCTCCATCAAACGACAGAAGACCCAGGCAGGAGTATGACAGAAACAACATGCCAGTTAATATAATTGAGAGGGCAGCCTCTGCTGCCTGCAGAAATTGATCCCATCTGTTCATCATGTGAATTTCAACTACGAAAGGACGGACTGGGAGAACAAGGATTCTCATGGAGGTGAGGAAACATGGAGAGCTAAACTATTGGAGGTGGCGACAAAAAACTTTTTAAACCAGCATGTCAGGGAACCCACAAGAATGAGAGGAAACAATGAACGAGCGAGACGACCTAGTCTTCACTCTGAACGACTCCGACATAAGGAAAATCGGTTTCGAGGCCCCAGTAGGAATGAGCGATCACAGTGTACCGATGTTTCAGTATTTGGTTGAAGAAGGGTTAATGTACTTGAGGAAGGGACCTGAAAACAAAAGGCTGGCATTCCGAAAGGGAAACTATGAGGAGTTAAGAAAATTCCTAACAGATATAACTTGGAAAACAGAGCTCAGGGGAAAGACGGCCCAAGACATGATGGACTACATCACGCAGAAGTGTAAGGAGGCAGCAAATAAGTTTGTTCTGGTCCAAAAGGAAAAAAAAACGAAATACAGATGAGAAACATCTGGTTTAATCAGAGATGTAAGCTAGCAGGGCAACAAAGTACAAGACCGGCGAGAAACAATGGGCAGAGTTTCTTTCACCCTGATGCTCTGTTACCTAGCAGTAAATAGGTACCTGGGAGTTAGACAGTAGTTATGGGCTGCTAATTCCTGGGTGTGTGTGTGTGTGTGCGCGCGCGAGGAAAAAAATGGCTAGTAGTTAGTAACAGTTGACTGATTGACAGAGGTATGCCACTAGACTAGTCCCAGAACTAAGAGGCATGAGTTACCAGGAAAGGCTGCGGGAAATGCACCTCGCGACACTGGAAGACAGAGGAGTAACGGGAGACATGATCACTACCTACAAAATTCTCAGGAAAATTGACAAGGTAGACAAGGATAAACTGTTTAACACTGGTGGTATGCGAACAAGGGGACACAGGTGGAAACTGAGTACCCAAATGAGCCACAGGGACGTTAGAAAGACCTTTTTCAGTGTCAGAGTAGTTAACAGATGGAATGCATTTGGCAGTGGTTTGATGGACGCTGACTCCATACACAATTTTAAATGTAGATATGACAGAGCCCAGTAGGCTCAGGAACCTGTACAATAGTTGATTGACGGTTAAGAGGCGGGACCAAAGAGCCAAAGCTCAACCCCTACAAGCACAAATAGGTGAGTACACACACTCTATTCTCAAAAGTATTCTATTTTTACTGTGCGTGTGTCGTCCGCCCCAACCACCAGGCAAGTGGTAGAGGTCACTGTGGTTACTGGTGATGACCGGCCCGGATCCTTACACCCTCCACCACTACCACCACCACCACTACCTCCACTACTACCTCCACCACCACCTCCACCACCACCACCACTACCTCCACTACTACCTCCACCACCACCACCACTACCTCCACTACTACCTCCACCACCACCACCACTACCACCACCACTACCTCCACTACTACCTCCACCACCACCTCCTCTACTACCTCCATCACCAGCTCCACCGCCGGCGATAACAGTGCCACCACGTATGATAGCAGTGCCCCACGTATGATAACAGTGCCACCACGTATGATAGCAGTGCCCCAAGTATGATAACAGTGCCACCATGTGTGATATAACAGTGCCACCACATATTCAAATTCAAAATTCAAATATTTATTCAGGTAAAGTACATACATACAAGATGTGATACAAACATTGATGGATTTATAGATAGAGCTAGTACATACAATGCCTAAAGCCACTATTACGCAAAGCGTTTCGGGCAGGAAAAACACTAAAGACTAAAACTTAATACTAATTGAGATTAAAGTATAAATTGTGTTGAGAAAATAAAAAAATAAAAAAGGGGGAACATGGCAGAAAAATAACAAATATACAATTTGGTCAACAAACAGCATTGCTTAAAATAGTAGACATGGGTTGACATTTAGGGGTGCGGTAGGTTACAGGGAATTAATAAGGTAGTGCTTAGTTTTTATCTTAAACTGGTTGGGAGAGGTACAGTCTTTAACATGACTGGGAAGGTCATTCCGCATTCTGGGTCCCTTGATTTGTAGAGCATTTCTAGTTTAAGTCGTACTCTTGGAATATCAAATAGGCATTTGTTTCTGGTGTGGTGCTCATGGGTTCTGTTACAACCTTCTAGGAAGCTTTTAAGGTCAGGATTGACATTACAGTTGACTTAATATCAAACATATTCAGAGATTTGAGTAGGGGTACCGAGTGATGTCTGGGGCCAGAGTTGGATATTGTCCTAATAGCAGCTTTGTGTTGAGTAATTAGAGGATGTAAGTGATTTTGGGTAGTAGAACCCCAAGCACAAATACCATAGTTGAGATAAGGATAGATGAGGGAGTAATAGAGCGTCACCAGGGCAGGGCGAGGTACATAATATCTGATCTTAAAAAGAATGCCAACAGTTTTTGAAACTTTTTTTTATATATTTAGAATGTGTCCCTGGAATTTCAGCTTGTGGTCAATGAGAACGCCAAGGAATTTGCCATCTACTTTGTTACAAATTTGAGTATTGTTTATCCTGAGATTTATTTGATTTGAGGATTTATTGCCAAACAAAATATAGAAAGTTTTGTCAATGTTGAGGGTGAGTTTGTTGGCAGTTAGCCAAAGATGGACTTTATTTAGCTCAGTATTCACTGTGACATTTAGAGCAAGGGGGTCAGGACTGGAGTAAATGAAGGTTGTGTCGTCAGCAAATAGAATTGGTTTGAGGTGTTGAGAGGCATTTGGAAGGTCATTAATGTAGATGAGAAAGAGGAGAGGGCCAAGTATGCTGCCCTGAGGAACACCAATGTTGATGGGTAGGGTGGGAGAAATTGAATTATTCACAGAAACATACTGGAGCCTGTCAGTAAGATAAGACTGAAGATATTGCAGGGAGTGACCTGACTCCATAATGATGTAATTTAAGAGGAAGGTTTTGGTGGCTGACAGTGTCAAAAGCCTTACGCAGGTCCACAAATAACCCAACAGGGAACTCATTTTTATCAAGAGCTGCATATATCAAGTTAATCATACTAATAAGTGCATCGTTAGTGATTTTTTGGGGTCTGAAGCCATATTGACAAGAGTGTAGTATAACACTACTCTACATGTGGTGATGGTGACCACTACATGTGACGAGAGTACTGAAGGAGTCACTATAGCAGCTGTCATAAATGACATACCTGACTACGGTATAGATGATGCTGTCAGTGAGGTGTGAGTGAGGGATGGTAGCCAGGGTGGCGTAATGCTGGCACTGTGGCACTCGTGAGCAATGGTCGCTGCTCCCACACGTATCAAACTGACCACGACACTCACCTCGCCTTAAATAATTAAACACACACACACTCGTGGGCGTCACATGCTACCCCCGCCTCTTGCTGCGCTCATTGCAACCATTGGTTGATGTGACTCCCCGCCTCGCCCCCCTGCCACGCTCCTTACAACCATTGGTTCACAGGTCCCGAGCCCCGCCCACCCAAGACCCCGCCCACAGTGCCAGGAACAAGCCCATTCACACTTCAGCCCGACACTTTGGCATTCCCGCCAGATTCTTTATATAATTACACTGCCTGTTCCTGGGGTCACAGTTGTGAGGGCAGTGCCACCACGTGTGAGGGCAGTGCCACCACGTGTGATGACAGTGTCACCACGTGTGATGACAGTGCCACCACGTGTGATGACAGTGCCACCACGTGTGATGACAGTGTCACCACGTGTGATGACAGTGTCACCACGTGTGATGACAGTGTCACCACGTGTGATGACAGTGTCACCACGTGTGATGACAGTGTCACCACGTGTGATGACAGTGTCACCACGTGTGATGACAGTGTCACCACGTGTGATGACAGTGTCACCACGTGTGATGACAGTGTCACCACGTGTGATGACAGTGTCACCACGTGTGATGACAGTGTCACCACGTGTGATGACAGTGTCACCACGTGTGATGACAGTGTCACCACGTGTGATGACAGTGTCACCACGTGTGATGACAGTGTCACCACGTGTGATGACAGTGTCACCACGTGTGATGACAGTGTCACCACGTGTGATGACAGTGTCACCACGTGTGATGACAGTGTCACCACGTGTGATGACAGTGTCACCACGTGTGATGACAGTGCTTGTCGGAAATTCCGACACCAATTGCTACTAACCATAATTATCTAAGTGTATCATGTAAAGAAATTTGGGTTTGTGACTTCTCATAAAAAATGGAAGTTATTATCACGTCCCCAGATTAGATTTATTCATAATACTTATATTAAATACCACTTAAATCACTAGTCTGGGCACTAGAAACAATACAAATGTGTTACCCCATGACTGGACATAACTGAATCATTAATAAAATCAAAGTCTCCTTCCATTTGTCAATAAATGGGCAGCAACTGAACCGATTTCTAGACGCGTCGCTGGATCGGGGAGGGAGGAAAGACGTCATTATTATCAACAACAAACTACGCGAGCATGCGAGCAAAGCTCCACGAATATTTCCCTCTAGTTAAAGTGTTGTAGGACCTCAAATCTCCTATCATCGACACGCCTACACTAGCAAATAGGGAAGTGTTCTATATCCGTTTGACTATTATTAATGTACTTTTAAGGTCTTATTTGTTATTTCAAGTGGTCAGGATGCTGGGCAAGCCACCCGGAACGGGTAAGCCTTAATTAATATATCACAATATCTTTTCCTTGTCATATGCCGCATATATTAGTTACAGTTTACTACACACAATTCCTAATAATTACATTAATGGTGTACCATACCTTTCTTAGCACAAGGGGAAAATGGGAAAGCAAATTTATCTACCTTATAGATCGTAAACTGCTGATGTAGATTCCGCGTCGAGTAGCTGCTCGTTACTCGTGCGTAGAGGCGTCGGGCTGCTCCTCGTAACGCTCGCACACACTCTTGCGTCGCGCAGTTCACCAGGTGTTCCTCCACCGAGGCTAGACTGAGACTGATGTTAGCATGCCTTCTCAGACTGATGCACTAGACGTACTGGTCCACTCTCCCACACGTAACTTCGTCGTATGTAAAGCGGTGGTTGAATTGTAGAGGACCAGGACTGCTACCAATTCTTCTCTACTCAGCTCCAGTCGTGCACGGCCCGCAGGTTGTCCCACAACCTCCCAGTGTTACTTCTCGAAGTTATTCAGATTCACTGTCATCCTTGATTCCTTGGTGTCGTCCTCACACCAGGTCAGCTCTTCCATACTCTCGCCACTGGTCAGCCCGGCCAAGCCCAAGCCGCTGACAAATCACGCCACGGCTGACGCTGTACCCAGAATGCATTGGGGACCTCGCTTTTGAGCGGGAAATCTCGCCTTCCCTTCGGCTCATTCCGCCATCTTAACGTGGAGGAGGCGCCTCATAGCCTCATCCCAATAAACTTAAAATTGAATTTCTTCACACAGTGACATCAGGCTTCCTCTAAAGTGTCATAAAATCAACCAAAACTTCTAGTTATTTATAGATGGGAATTATGACTATTATAGGCAGGAATAGGGGAATACAGGGCTGCACTCCGTAACATACCCCTTCCTTAAAATAAGTCATACTGAATGGTCAGCAATAGAGAGGGCAATCGGTGTCCTTGATCCATCCATCCCCGATGTGCCTTACCTCCAGTCAGTGGCGTTACTGGAACTACCTCGCCAGTCACCCACATCATTCCTCCACCTTGCACAGGAGCGGGTGAGGTTGATGTTCCCTGAACACCTGAAGAGGGACCTACCCCCCCCCCGTATCCCCGAGTACGCCACCGCGACTCATTACCATCACAAGGCTTAGGGTATGTAGTACCCTCACCACATCGTACACTAGGAGGTACTCCTGCACTCTCACGGTGTCCTACAAGTCCTCCACGTTAACACTCCTCTCTTAGCCATTCTCTTCTTTTCTCCTGTAAGAGCGTTGTCTCTGCACAGCGACATCTTCTACCTTCCCTTCATCCAGCAACTTCCACTCTTCCACACTATAGGCTTCTGAGTCGATTCGGCACACCTCATGCTAGGCTGGCGCCTCCCATCAGTTCACTTCATCCTGCCTTTCTTCCTTCGAGCATCCCAGTGTCATCCATCCCACTTCTCTCGGCGAACATCTTTATCCTTCCTCGAAAAAGTCTCTTCCCTGTAGGAACCTTCCTAGGTTCGTGGTCGGGTCCAGTCACTTTACTGTAGCTCACTTTGCTACTGTGGTTTCCCCTTACCCGTACCACTCATCTGGCTGGTGTAGGATACAGTGCGTCGTGGCTCCTCCACACTGCCCCTCACAGTCGCTCGCTCACCCACCGAGCTCATCTGGTTCACTCTTACAGGTGGAGGGATGGCGGCCTGCAGCTCTTCCGTCTCATCAGGCGCCTGTACTGCTGCTCCTCGCCCCCTCCTTATCCACCTGTAACATAAGGCTTAGCCGCAGGTCTTCGTCGGGGTTCTCCACGACCCCTGACGATCTCTCTGCACCCTCACCCATGTCTTTCCCGGGTACATTATTATGGGTGTGGGCGGCTTCCTTATCACCGGCAAATTTCCCGACACATCCCCTGATGTCGTCTCACCACCGCCTGATACGCATGTACTCCTTGCCTAACTAGGTTGAATCCTACCACCACCCAGGTCGTTATCCAGTACCATCTGGATGTGCTTAGGGGTAACCTAGGGACGACAGCCACAATCCCTTTCTCGACCCCGTAGTCGGGATGAGCTGCACCTCGTGAAGGGGTAACCTGCATTCCTCCCCTACACTGAGTAGCCTCACTGCTCCCACAGGTTGCTCTGCAAAATCCCTGGGAAGAATATCCTCGGTCACCATGCTCCCGACCACACCCGTATCGCGGAGCATCACAGCGTCGACAGGGTACGACTCTGCAAACTTCAAAGTTCCTCGCAAACGAAGGGATGTTGCCTCAGCTTCACTTCCCAACCATTCACGTTAGGACCATTATAATAAGAAGTATGAGTAACCACCCTCTCCTCCTCCACAACCAGGCCCACAAACTGCCTGGGTTTCTCACATTCTCGGGTACAGTGTCCCTTCACCCAACAGTTGAAACATGGTCCCATTCTGGGAGGATCTCCACAGTCACCCGGACCATACCTCCCTGGGTCGTCGTGCTCTGGGTTCTCGCAGAACTCCCAGCCACATAATCCCTACACCATAGCTCGCACCTGGATTGCCACACTGAGGCTTCCTCACGGGCTCTCGAACGCTCATCTGGGCTTGGGACTTGCTACTTGAGTGGTATGACTCACCAAGTCCATACCCAGTCTTAACTTCCGCACGGCTCTTCCACGAACGGTCTTCCTCTTAACTGTAGCCACTGTTCACCCAGCAGTGAGTGGGTACTTGGTTGTTAAACGATTCGGCGGGGTTGTATTCCGGGGAAAATTAGGATTAAGGACCTGCCCGAAACGCTACGCGTGATAGTGGCTTTACAGGAATGTTTTTGTATGTTGTATGTTGGGCAGGTTGCCTTGGTTGACTCTCCCTCCGAGAGGTGAACGCCTCCTTCAACATGTCCGGGTGGAGTAGAAACATGAACATCTCCACTACCACCAACTGTCTCATGTCCTCGAACGTCTCCACCTCCTCAAACTTTAGCCATTTAAAGGAACCTACGATCCAGCTCCCTGACTGCCTCTGCATAGGTCCTCCATGGTGCTCGAGTGCACCTGCGAATCCTCTTCCGGTATGACTCGGGTGTCAGTTGGAAAAAGCGCAGCACCGCACTTTTTACCGCATCGTAGTTCAGACAGTCATCTATGTCTAACATGTTGTAGGCCTCCCTGGCCTCTCCAGTCAATCTACTCTGCACCAGTCCTGCCCAATCCAAGAAAGGCAGGCAGAGTGACAGCCAGCGAGAGAGAGAGTGCCGGCGGGGAAGTGGTTCAAATAGCTTCGGCTATCACTTCCTTTTGTCCGGTCGTGATGGTCAAGCGGATTAAGGCGTCCCTGTACATACCAGTTGCGTTGCTCCTGGCAGTATGGGTTCGAGTCACTTCTGGGGTGTGAGTTTTCAGTTGTATATAGTCCTGGGGACCATTCAGGCTTGTTTGCATTTGTGTTCCTCACGTGTGCCCCAAAGAATGAGGTGATTTGATAAAATGCTATGCCCAAGATTACCATCCGAGTGCCGGCGGGGAAGTGGTTCAAATAGCTTCGGCTATCACTTCCTTTTGTCCGGTCGTGATGGTCAAGCGGATTAAGGCGTCCCTGTACATACCAGTTGCGTTGCTCCTGGCAGTATGGGTTCGAGTCACTTCTGGGGTGTGAGTTTTCAGTTATATATATGTGTGTGTGTGTGTGTGTGTGTGTGTGTGTGTGTGTGTGTGTGTGTGTGTGTGTGTGTGTGTGTGTGTGTGTGTGTGTGTGTGTGTGTGTGTATACAGGATATGTTAAAGCTGGTCAGAAGAATTTCATTTTACCTTTGTAACCGCACGTTCATGACTATGTAATAAGACACCTCGAACACTGTTTATGTAGGACAGACGTAAATCTGTGTATTTATGTTTGTAGGTTAGATTAGCATGTTAAAAGCACTACAATCACCTGCTGTTGATTATTTAATCAATCACTGAACTATATGTTTAACAGATCTCTAGCCCTGTCCATAGAGGACAGAATAAACTGTATATATGCTGGTTAGCATTGTAAATGTGTGACCCCCCCCCCCACACACACACAAGCAACAAGCACAACCTCTAGGCTCTGTTGACGCCCCCAACCCACAATCACTCTGGCGATTGTGACACTTGCAAGTACACACACACACACACACACACACACACACACACACACACACACACACACACACACACACACACACACATTACCAAATGTAATGTAATGAAGATAGGTGTAGGGAGCAGGAGGCCAGATACAAGGTATCATCTGGGAGAGGAAATTCTTCAGGAGTCAGAGAAGGAAAAAGACTTGGGGGTTGATATCACGCCAGACCTGTCTCCTGCAGCACATATCAAGCGGATAACATCAGCGGCATATGCCAGGCTGGCCAACATACGAACGGCATTCAGAAACTTGTGTAAAGAATCATTCAGAACTTTGTATACCACATATGTCAGGCCAATCCTGGAGTATGCAGCCCCAGCATGGAGTCCATATCTAGTCAAGGATAAGACTAAACTGGAAAAGGTTCAAAGGTTTGCCACCAGACTAGTACCCGAGCTGAGAGGTATGAGCTACGAGGAGAGACTACGGGAATTAAACCTCACTTCGCTGGAAGACAGAAGAGTTAGGGGGGACATGATCACCACATTCAAGATTCTGAAGGGAATTGATAGGGTAGATAAAGACAGTCTATTTAACACAAGGGGAACACGCACAAGGGGACACAGGTGGAAACTGAGTGCCCAAATGAGCCACAGAGATATTAGAAAGAACTTTTTTAGTGTCAGAGTGGTTGACAAATGGAATGCATTAGGGGGTGATGTGGTGGAGGCTGACTCCATACACAGTTTCAAGTGTAGATATGACAGAGCCCGATAGACTCAGGAATCTGTACACCTGTTGATTGACGGTTGAGAGGCGGGACCAAAGAGCCAGAGCTCAACCCCCGCAAACACAACTAGGTGAGTACAACTAGGTGAGTACACAAGCGCAGCAAACATCTACACATGTGGTATACAAGCACTACACTCCCAACAAACGTCCACCGTCAAATGAACTGGTCAGTCACACAACCAACTCGTCCTCCTAATACACCGTCGCATTTTGACACAAACTCTTCCTAAGGCCAAAAATTGTCGTACTAGAAAACGTAGCGGCTACAGAAATTGACATGCTGTCCAGCTTTTGTCTTGGGTCCTCTGGTAGGCCAGGATAAGGGTACCTTAGTACGACTGTTTCTTGACGTTGAGAAACCTTAGGAGGACGGGCTGTTCAGACAGGATCTCGCTGTCAATACTATAAAATAGAATGTCTGTGTCTGTTTAAAGTAGGAGATAAAAAACTTGAGGCTAGCCTCATCCAACCTTTTAAGATGATTCAAAGGCATCCCTCCAGACACCCCAACATCTCTCCAGACACCCCCAACATCCCTCCAGACACCCCAACATCTCTCCAGACACCCCAGACACCCCAACATCCCTCCAGACACCCCAACATCTCTCCAGGCACCCCAACATCCCTCCAGACACCCCAACATCCCCCCAGACACCCCAACATCCCTCCAGACACCCCAACATCTCTCCAGGCACCCCAACATCCCTCCAGATACCCCAACATCCCTCCAGACACCCCAA